GCACTGGGGTGGCCAGCTTATTCTCAGGGAACAATACTTATTAAATTACATTTTTCTTGAGATTTTTTTTTTGGACAAGCAAAATGTTCTGCAGACAACCAGATTTTGTCTGGTAACCTGAAATGTTTCCTTTTACCCGGTGATGACATCATAATAAGAGCTTCACACTGACAGAAAAGACTGTTTTCCATTTGGAAATACTTAAATGTAGACATTAACATTTAGCCAAAACACTTACATTTAACTTTTACATTTAGGATTAAACATGTAAGCATAACATTTAAGTTTAACATTTAGTAATAAAAATGCTAAATGTAAGAACAGTGAGCTAAGTAACAATTTTTCATATAGGATTTTACATCAAGAGAGTGAGTTAAATAATGAAAATGTGTTTGACTTTTTTACATTCTTTTACAACCCCAAATTCTTTAAAGTTGGGATGTTGTGCAACCCTTCAATAAAAACAGAATTCAATGATTTGCAAATCCTTTTCAACCTTCATTCCGTTGAATCCAATACAAAGACACAATTTTTAATGTTCAAATGGAWAAACTTTGTTTTTGAGCAAATATTCACTCCTGTTAAATTTGAAGCCTGCATCACGTTCCATAAAAGCTGGGACATGTTCACCACTGTGTTCCATCAGCTTTCCTTTAACAATACACAATAAGGGCCAATTTCCCATACAGGGATTGAGCCTAGTTCTAGATTAAATTACATTTTAAACCAGGATTTATTCAAACAACTTTCTTATTTATGGTTTACAGTAGTCCCAGACTTGTCCTAGTCTTGAATTAAATACTCTTCTTTCTTAGAGGAAGGCTAGAGCTAATCCAGGTCTAAATGAAGAGAAATTAAGCCTGACCAGAGCAAGTTTAACTTCAGATTGAAGGCTGTATGCTTCACTGTGGATGGGAAGAATGGATTATCTTGACTAAACTACATGAACGATGCTGGAAGACCAGCACAAAGACCAGAAAGGAGATTTCTCTGAGACAGAAGCAACCTGCTGACTGAATTTGATGAGACAGATTTCTGTGTACAAAAACACTGCAGCTGAAATAATGAGTTTGTTTCAGCCACTGACCAAATTGGACCTGCTTATAGAAACAGCTTTGCTGTGCAGCACTTTTTATGAAGATAAAGAAGCTGGAAACAGTTGAGTGATCCACAAGTTATCGGTTTGATTTTGTTTGACTACATTTATCATTTGACAAATAGTTCAAGGCACAGTGTGTAGGATTTGTTGTTTTCAGCGACATCTAGTGGTTGAGTGGTTGAATCATCCTCCCTGGTCCTCCCCCCACCCCCACCCCCGCTTCCAAACGCAAAGGAGTTGCTACGGTGTCTCTCAGGTGTCAAAAACCTTTGATAATTCCAACCGCGATGTCTACCAGCAGCTTCAGGGCTAGTGATGTTTCAAGTYGTAAGATTATGAGCTTTAATAAGTAAAATTATCCCAGCTACAATGACAGACAACAAATATTACATTTATAGTATTACAACTAAAAACCATTTTTGACGCCACCACCGCAGTTTGTCCTTCATGAGCCTTCGAAGACAAGATGGCGGTGCAAGATTGCGGCTGCCTGTAGGGCGACCCGCGACCATGGAGATATAAAGAGCTTTTTATAAGGTAAAAATAATAAAACAAGGTCTTTGTCTGCAATGTTTAGACATGTTTTTTTTTTATTATTGTCATTAGTGATTATCTCAATTTTGGCTAAGACTTGACAAAATCCTACACACTGTGCCTTTAAGAGGAGAAATTCCCCCAACTCGCTCATTGGATGACTCCCCTAACCTCACAAGTTGAAATATCCTGTTCTTTAATTGCTCTTAGTATTATTTTCTGAGTTGCTGAATATTGTCTTATTATTTGTAAGCAATAACAATCAACATRACAAGATATAAAAGCTATAAATATTTCTCTTCATGTATAATGAATCCATGTATCGAGATTCACTTTCTGAACAGACAAAAAGTATCATACTTTTTCACAATTTGTTTTAACTGCATCTGAACTGTATGACACAGTATATGAATTGAATATAAAACAGGATGAAAGCAGTTAGCTGCAGAGGAGTCTGACTCTCACATCATTTGTATCAAATTCAAGGCATTTCTCTGCAAAGTTAGTTCTTACTAAAGTTTCTAAAAAGTAATGCAGGAGSTGTGCCACATTGGAAAAACTAACAAGAGAAAATCCTTTGACCATATAAAGGTCATAGGTCACCTTCTGAAGGATGCCACCCCCCCAAAAAAAAAATAAATTAATTAAGTTGCTTGAGATCCTCAGGTTTTCTCACAAATTAACAAAATACTTTGAAAATATTTTTATTGTTTTTCATATATAAAACAATACATTAAAAAATAAACTATCCCAAAAGGTTTACCAATATTTTAAATACACTTAATAGCCAGATGAGTGCTAAACACACAAGAAAAATATGAACAAATTCACAACAAACCCAGGAAAGTTCTTCTCTGGTTAGATTTGAAGTAAACAAATGTTTTTGTGTTTGTTTAACTTAAAGAACGTCTTCAAAGTTCTGTTGAGCTGGGTCGGAAAATGCATGCAGCTTTTTATTTTCTTTACCTGCTTGTCTGTGCAGGATCATGGGAGAACTGGGGCCTAACTCAAGTGTGTGAGGGGCAGGGTAAAACATGGACAGGTTGCAAGTCCATCACATGGTCAAGAGAAGCAAACATTCAGCTTCTCGCTCTTACCTTGGGATCATTTAGTTACCAACTAAGAAAGCATGCATGTTTTACGTCTGTGAGAGGAAACCAGAGTAGGCAAAACAAAAAGCCACACATGCACAAAGACAACATGTAAACTCCTAACAGGAAGGCTCCAGGCCAGGAAGAGACCTTTAGACCTTGCTCTGATGGGACAGTTTTAACCACAGCTAAACCATMTCACCTCAAGTCAGAGCGCTGCTCGTGTTTTCTTTGGTTCCACCCTCAACTGTTCTTTCATTCAGAAGCTTCATTTACTTGAKCTCGACCCAAAAACTCAAGCTGGTTTGGGCGTGAGTCTGGGTCAGTATCAGGCTGCAAAACCAYACACCAGAAGACAAAAACATCATTGTAAACTAAGGTAAAATATCTAGAATCAAGTGACAATAGTTCATGTTGGACTCTGGACCAATGAGCCCTGTTTGAACAGAACATGAACTTCAATCCAAACATCAGAGCACAGACTGACAGTTTTGTATCACAACATGACATTTTAGAATCATTTTAAAACAAAAAATATCAAAAGCGAGTGACAGAAAAGCCCACCGTCCTGAAAGGAGTCAGACTAATCAGAACCAMAACTGTGTGGTTTCATTCCAGTTTATTACATCTCAGTTCTAGCATTGATTAAATTGGTCATTTCTTGCTTTGTAAATTACTCAACTAGACTTCAAAGCATCAAATTCATTCAAACACAGTTCACATTTTACTCAGTAAAACTCTTAATTTTAAAYAACAATCCAAAGTGTAAAAAATTTCAAATATAAAAAGGCCGTGGCAGCTGTTACAACATATTTAAAACTGTACAAATGTTCAGATTTGTCAACAGTGTTCATGCTGTGATTGGGTCAGAAGAGATATTTTCGACAGGAGTCRGATCCGCATCGACACTCTACTCGAAGCCTCTTTTTAGGTGATGAAGAAAGTCCTGCTAGACTGAAACTGGAGTCCATCTTGGTGCTTTCTGTGTCCATTGGATCAACTGGAAAACAAACAGTTGGTTAAATAGTTAAATAATAACAACAGTGACATTTTTCATCTATCCACAATAAGCAATTTAACAAGAGAATGAAAAACGATTGTTTCTGTTATTGATTTAACCAGGCAAATCCCATGAGGGAGGCTTGAGTCTGAAGGTTACATTTGGAGTTTCCTCATAGTTTGAACAGTTTGGAACCTCCCACTTTATAGTTTTGAAGAGAAAGCCTCCCAGACTGAAAGCAAAGCATTTTCAACTACAGAATAGAAGCCGAGTTGTTATTGTTTTAAATATATATATTTTCATATAACATGTCCTGTATGACAGAGAACCTACACCAGCATACAGCTAAGAATTTCTGTCTAGTTTTAACCCATTTCTTCACATGTAGAACTATTTGTAGAATACTGTAATTGTAGCTATTTGTATGGTGGTGTGTGATTTTAATCTGCATGCTTCAAAAAAATACTGTGCACTTTATTTTTTTTAATAATCTACTTGTTAATCTGCAGTGTATTGCCCTCAGTACATCTTCGGTGTGTTGTTACTTCCTCCCTCTGTGTAGCAGCTCACACGCTGTCATAATTTTACCATAAAAGGTCATTTAAATGATTTAATTTGTTGTATTCTTTTGATTGACACCTCTTTTGACCAACTGGGTTGATCTATAGCAGAGATTCTTAACCCAGAGCGCCACCTTGAGGGCCTCAAAATAACAACAGTTTTTAACTTWGGGCTGCAGAGGGCTGTGGTACTGCACTAATTTTGAATAAGGTGCAATACACTTTCTCACCACTAGTAGCGGTAAAGCACCACTCAGATGTTTCACAATGTTTTAAATACATAGAATAAACTTAGATACCAGCCAAAAATGGAAGCCTATTTTAAATGAAAAGTAGAAGACAAAATGAAGGCAACCCATCAAAAAATGCCAAAGTTTATCACTAATACAAAGTGCAGCTTCTGGTTCTACCATGCAATATTTTAAAAGTTCAAAACATTGTCAAATACAGTTGCAGATACAGCTATATTTTAATTTGCATTTTATCAAATTATCTTTTATTTTTAAACATTTTGAATGCATTTTAAAGAAACTTTAAACTTGTCAAAAAGCTGTTGTTACTGTTATTGTCACTAATATGAAGAGCAGCTTCTGGTTCTTCCACGCAAAAGTTTAAACAGGCTTTATTATCATTTGTACTAGTGATGYGTRCGGCAACACCGATGCGTCGGCACATGCGTCGAGCTCATAGAGCAAAACCAGTGTCGTACGCGCAGCGATATGTGAAAGTCACGTGACCGATACAGGAACTGTTTCGAACTGACAGTGACACGCCAAACTGTTTATAAGGAAGCGCATCTGTCAACGGGATGCATCTGCCAAAAGAATCTTTGATCTTTTGCCGGTCAACATTAAATCCTTCAATAATTATGGAGCAGCCTCAACCTAAAAGAAAGGTTTCTGCCGTGTGGGACCATTTTGACATCATATAGGAAAATAAGGTTTTTTTTTTTTATTTCCTTCTTTCACCCTGTTCCTTTCAGATTTTCCACTTGATCCATCTTAATTTAAATTCATCTCAAAGTGACTTTTAGTTTACTATTCATATGATTTTCTGCAGGTTAAATGTCGCATTTGTTCAGCAGAACTTTCGTATTTAAATAAATCCACCTCAATGCTGAGGCATTATAGGGCCAAGCATGACAATGAAGTCCCAGATACACCCAGAATAAATTCAAMTATACAACCATTTTACAACTTACTCACAGTTGGTTTATTGATAARTAATTCCTATTAATTTATTCTTTATATCATTTTAACCATCAAGCTTCCAGGAAGCAGATGCTGGATGAAGCTCTGCTGGATTTCATCCTGAAGGACTGCCAGCCCCTCTGCATTGTAGAGAATGAAGGATTCAAGGAACTGGTTCAGGTCCTTGAGCCCTCATATGTTTTGCCAACTAGAAAGGTTTGTGTGGACATTATCTAAAGTAGTACTTGATGTATTCAATTTATTTATTCTTTAATCATTTATGTTGATTTGCTTTTGGTTTTTCCTGGTTTAATTTTTAGACCATCAAACAAATGTTGGCCAAAACGTATGAGGAGGAATGGGAACGAGTGAAAATGGAAGTACAGCAGCAAGCTGTAGCAGTGAGTATAATGTGGACATGTGGACATCTGTGAACATGGAGGCTTACTTGGCTCTTACCTGTCACTACATTAATGAGAATTTGCAGTTGTGTACATCTGTGTTGGGAGTGCAGTACTTTTCACAAAGTCACACTGCTGACCATTTAGTCCAAGTCAAAAGGAGCCTGACGGAGGACTGGGCCATAACCAATAAAGTAAAGTGTCTTGTGGCTGACGCAGCACCAAYCAATTGCATCCACAAAACAGCTCCAAATTCGACACTCAATTTGCATTGCATATAGTCTCAATTTATTAGTTAGAAAATCATGTGATCGGATCCCCWCACTGACATCCATCAGACAATAAGTCAGGCACATTGTCACATACTTCACAGATCAAGCATTAAAGCCAAGGCAACAGATGGGCCGACCAACCCTGAAACTTATRAATGAGGTGCCAGCATGCTGGAACAGCTCATATGAAATGCTGTCAAGGCTACATGATGAGAGGGAACCAGTGTGGGTATCTCTGGCCTCTCTAAAATCAGATTTGACTCCACTTACAGCTGATGAGCACACCTTCATAGGAGAAACACTTCTTGTGCTTGCTCCTTTCCATCAAGCTACAGTGGAGTTGTCTGAAGAGAGGCGAGTGTCAGGGTCAAAGGTCATCCCGATGATGAAAATGCTCTATCTTGCACTGGAGCGTAACGCTTCAACTTTGCACACACAGGCAACCATACAACTACACGAACACCTGAAGCATCGAGTTACAGACACTGCTTCCAATCTGGAGTCATTAAGTGTGTTGACCCTAGCAACACTTCTACACCCCAGGTTTAAATCACTCAGGTTCCACAGTTCCTCCAAGTGCAATGAGGCTGTTAGTAGACTGTGGTCAGAATATGCATCTGTCATCGGACGCACAAATGAACCACAGCCAGGACCGTCTTCACAACAGCTGCCTGCACCCACCTCAGGCATGTCATTGAGCATTATCAGTGTGCATTGCCAATGCAATGCACACTATTGTGATTCGTTTCCCATCCAAGTCATCTCAACTTTGCCATGCTTCTCCTCCTGCATACTTTGTCCTAGAGCTGCCATTGTAATTTATATCTGTAAAGCCCCTGTGCAAAATGATGGCTATGCCTTTTGGTGCCTGTAAAACTTACAGTTTTTGAAATATTAATGTTTAATAAATTATAATGGCAGTCAATGGAGCCTTGTATTGGTTCAATACTGCCCCCTGCTGCATCAACACAGTATGGTACTGCACCATAGTTTCATAATATTTAAACTCAGTAGTTCGGTGATTACAACATTAACATGATTGTATTTTGATGTTTTACTGTAATAATGTCTTTATGTTGTCCTATTGCTGTAATATATTGCACTTAAGTGTCAATAATTGCATTGGCAAGGTAAATTTTTTCTGTATACATACAATCCAGTCCCTGGGATTGTCTTTACCACATCTCCTATAGTCTCATGATGAGCACTGTGGGCTTTCATGCGGGAGATCAGGGTTCYAATCCAGCTACTGCAACTTTAACAAAAATCTCTTCAAACTTCATARTGTCACACAATTACCTTAATTACAAACACCTGCTGACGTGACAGGCACAAGTTGGTTTAGAAAACGAACTTGGTCAAAGTTCCTTCTGCAAGTGCAATGCTGCAGGCAAAGCCATGCTGCAATGACATGCTACATGGCAATGCACACTTGTTTTTACATCGTAAAAACCCATGTCTAGTTTGTTTGTTGTTGTTTGGAAATCATGTACTAAAATGCCTTTTTTTTGATAACCTTTGGCAACATCTTGACATGGAAATGTGCAGGCAGACCCAAAATYCCACAGCTGATGCTATCCAGGAGGTGCACAGATACCTTGCAGAGAGCAATGTTGCCAGGTCCCAGGATCACTTGAGATACTGGGACAACCACAAGATAGTTTATCCTAACCTATTTCAACTTTCTTTGCGATTTCTGTGCACTCCAGCCTCATCTGTGCCATGTGAGCGGGTGTTTTCTACAGCTGGAGAAGTTGTAACAATAAAACGAAACAGACTCAATTTCAAAACGTTGGAAAAACTTATTTTTTAAATAAAAAAATTGTAAAAAAAATAAAATAACACGAAATAATAAAATAAATTAAATCCTAGTCCACAAGCATCCTCATTCACAACACGTTCACTTAGATTTTCATGTTATGATACATGTTCACATTATTTATTGACTGTATATAAAAATATAATATATTTTAAATTTAAACAAAGATAGGAAATAAAACAATATAAAATATAATGACTTAAACTATATTATTGTATATACTAGGTCATCAAAAAAGTGTCAGTTGAGCCTTTCAAATGCCTGTAGGGATTTTTAAGGACCAGTAGGTGTCAGTATACAGTGACACAGAAGGAAAAAAAATTGTATAGGTCCTCTGGACGGGTTCTTCTTTAATGAAACGTTTCGTCTCTCTTCCAAGAGACTTCTTCAGTCTTCAGTCAGTCTTCTCTTGGAAGAGAGACGAAACATTTCATTAAAGAAGAACCCGTCCAGAGGACCTATACAATTTTTTTTCCTTTTGATTTTTTACCTGGATTACTGAGATGCATCAGGACATTCAGTGACACAGTATCAATACAGTTTGGCAATGTGTCAAAACGCTTCATGACACATCATCTACCATCACTAATTTGTACTTTATCAAATTTATTTTTACAGTGTTTTTTATTGGAAACATTCTGAATTAATTTATCTTATGACCACAATTTTATTTATTGAATTGTCTGTTTTTGTTACTGTTTATGTAAAAAAAAAAAAGAGCCAATTTTGTGTTGATAAGCTTGAGTGGTCTGTTGACTGACCGTTGTACTTGTTCAAATGGGCAGGTTACAATATTAAAAAAATGTTTGTCACAATCATGTCTTGTGATTATTTGACAGGAGTTTTACTTTTAAACTGTAAGTGTATTTAATTTACTTATAATGTAAATACAATACAAATTAAACCCAGATTAAGAATAATTATCATTTTGATCCGTACATTGGTAATGTCTAACTGGGCCTCATGTCACTTTATGATCAACAAACTGGGCCCGAGGTCAAAAAGTTTAAGAACCCCTGATCTATAGCTTCTCCAGAGCAAAAATGTGCAGCAAGTTCTACATGTCCCACCCACAGGACACATGAATGGCTGACTCTAAAAACAACAAATCTGCCCTGAGCTTTACTCAGACACCACAGCCAATAAGTTACCTTTTATTTGATGTGCAGCTTTTGGGGATGGAGACATTATATAAAAACTGAAAAATAAAGGTTTTTCTCCCCCTAGCAGTGAGGACAGCAGACATAACAAACACGGTTTTATGGCATTTCTTTAAATTAGCTAACTAAACATGCTGTGAAGAGGAAATATAGAGTAATTGTTACGAAGTGTTTTGAGTGCTTCAAGACAAGGAAGAGGGATTTTTGTAGTGAAGAAATGTCACATTTCCTTTATTTTAGCCACCATTTTGGATTATTTCTGATTAGATAACAAGGACAGATTAGGCGTCAAAAGTAAGTGAAAAACATTTTATTCTGCTGCAGGTGGTTTTATAAAGGGCTGTGTTTGTTGGTGGGGATTCGCTGCATGACCCCTAGCTGTGATTCATATTGCTGATTGTTATGGAAATATTTATTTAACAAAGACAGAAATATGTGGTCCAAGAATGAAGGTGCTCCGTGGAATGATCAGCTGAGTTTTATTGCAACAAGAACACAGAGAACAACATCAGACTGTCCCCCTTGCTCTCTGATCTGTGCTTCGGCCTTTCTGAGACAGTTGAGGCCTCAACAAACACTATTATGTCATCTTAGCAAGATTTCATCCTAGGTCAAGGGAAAACAAAAAGATAAACACACGTGATCTAAGAATGACTGTTGTTAGCAAATCTTGTTGACTTTAATCACTATCTGCTGATAAACAGCATGTCATGAAAACCTARGTCATTAAAATATGTCATGAATTACTGACTTAAACCAAAAAGTTAGTGTTAGTCTGGATGTAAGTATATTTGCAGATAAGTCTCAGTTTTCAAGAAATATTAAGCCTATGGTTAGTAGCCGCACGCTGGCAAAACTATATAAATGTCTTAATTTAACTGTCTCAATTCTGAGTAAGCTGGGAATATTAAACAATCCTCTTCCCAAATACGTGCAATATTTTGTTTACATAGCAGGATTAAAAGATGAGGAGATTAGCGCTCAGGGGCTATAAGAGTCTCTGGTTTGTTTTAATTAAGAATATGGTAATGGGGTTATCAGAGGCAGTTTGTTTATTTTTGTTTATCATTTATTTAAAATGACTGCAGCTGTATGAAACCCTCCAGTTCCTCTCTTAAAATTACTAGTGAACTAGCACCCAGTGAATTTTATGTTTAGAGTAGGGAGGAAGAAAATGTCTAATCCCAATACTTTTGTACAATTATCACAATTCTGAAGGGCTTAGGAACATTTTACTGGGGCTGCAGCTAACCATTATTTTAGTAATCGATTATTTATCGATTATTCTGACGATTAGTCGAGTAATCGGATATAAAAAAATTGTCATGTTCTGCAGTAATTATTTAAGTTTATTTTATGAGAAATACAATTATTTAATATTGTGAAGGGGTAATGCTGCTGCTGCAATCAAAGTAAAATTACACCAGTTGTATTAATTGATGCATTTTAAGCNTGTGAAGGGGTAATGCTGCTGCTGCAATCAAAGTAAAATTACACCAGTTGTATTAATTGATGCATTTTAAGCTCCACTTGTTTGTTTTTATGTATGTAAGGTTTGAGGAGGCATTAATTAAAAGCACTCTGTCACTGAATCATTTTAACTATCAKTGAAAAATCTAAATGCTGTAAATTTATTGTTATGGACTGGAAAACTGAATGTATTATTTTTGTTAGAAATTTAATAAGTAAAATGGATATTATAAACATTTGGGTGTTGCAATTGAGTTTTGTAGAGTTCACTTATTAATTGTAACAAAAAATTATTTTAAGACTGTAATTAGGTTGATGCAGGGTTCCCATTTAGGCAATAAAGTCTTGACTGCTTAGCTATAAACAAATATGACAGTACTAATGAAGGCTAAAATCATAAAAAGCAGCAGCAAAAATTTAAAAAATCCAACTATCTTCTATAAATACTTTTAAACTTGAAATATTTACTCCAAGTATCTCATTTAAACTAAGATAAAAGCATATCAACAAATAAACATGTTTCAGCTCAAACTGTCGATTTGTTGCTGTGCTTTTATTTTTATCTGACAAACTTACAGTAAGTGTTTTTAATCACACAACTTACACACTGTTTAATAAAACCCTGTCAGGTCACCATGATTAGTCAGCACAGATAACGTTAGCTTAAATATACCTCCTCCTTCTACATTTGGAACATGACAGCTGTGACACTTGTACTGAGTACATACTGAACTAAGATTTAGTTGTACCATTACACCCCCCAGGGGTTACTGAAGATCATGTTGGTTCAAGTGAAACATGTCACTAAATGAAACAATAACCCAAAACAGGCAAAGCACAAGGTCAGTTTGGACAAGTCTAAGTTTAACATTAGTCCATTTATAATACTCTAATTTAATTATGAAACAATACAGCAATAAATGTCATAAAATCATTTATGAAATTCTTGTTACAATCAGTTTGTTTCTGTAGATTCTCAGTTATCCAGAACTTGGGAAATAGTTWAAAACAGGACAACTGCACTTCTTTTTCTGTTTGTTGAACGCTTGATGCTCTGATCTGAGGAGCTAGTCCAGTTTAAACTCTTTGAAGATTCTCTTTATTTATTTTCAGTTAGATCTCTGATCTGAGTGTCAAACTGAAAAACATTATGAACCTGAAAGATTGAACTTCATGTTATGTGAACAGAGTGAACTTACTTTGCATCTTATAGTCAAAGGTGAGCTCCTCTCCTGCACGAATTCCACGTGTTGAAAATAAGGCGATTCTGGGAAGCCTCTCATCTATGTTATCAACGAAGACGTTGAATACCTGCAGGTTGGGGTTACACTGAAAAAAAAAAAGGGGGGGGAGGGTGTTAAACATCAAAAGTAAAAATGATGAAACATAACAGAAACTGGTTTACAGGTGTGGGCCTTATAGTAGTTCTGGATTTAAGAGTGTGCAGATTACAGAACGACACAGTCATGGTGTAACGTGACAATTTTTAGGTGAATAAAATAAACTTTAAATGCGTTAGAAAAATTTATATTTCATTATACAACAGTCAACAAATAAAAGCGTTATATGAAGTGTATTTTTTATTTTACCATTAGCAGAGTTTCATTTGTTTACGTTAGTGATGTGGAATTAGGGCTGTCACAAACAATTATTTTTATAATCGATTAATCACCGATTATTTTTTTCGATTAGTCGACTAATCGGATCATATATTTATTGAATATAAAACTTACAGCTTATCGTGCCAGAATGCAGCTGCTATTATATAACAATTGCTACAATTGTTAGATTTTAGCCATGTGTTAACTAAAAATAATTGCTGTGGAAGGTAAGTTCTGCAGATAT